TAAGGTGTAAGGTGGAAAGTGCCATAAGCGCACAGTCCCTGGACTGGAGGAGCGAGTCCGGGCAGGGGCAGGGGCAGGGGCAGGGAGAGTACCTCTGAGTCTGGTGGGCGAATGAGAATCAGCAGTTTGGTGGAGACGCCAGGGGAGTAGCATGAGAGGCAAATCAGTGCACTTGGCGGGGAATTTTGGAGCCTGCTGGCTGGAGCAGTCAGCCTTTGGCTGTTGTGCTAAGATCAGTGAGAAGCCATTGCTGATTTTAAAAATCTTAAAGTATTTCATAAATAAAAAATATATGTAAGATGTAAAAGTGATAGATGGGGCTCTTGCATATTCGTCCAGCTTCAAAAATAAAATATTGCTTACACTAGGGGAGTCCCCTGGCTGCCCCTTATAATTCTGTCTCTCCTTTCCTGCCTTTCTCCATCCTCCCTTCTTCCCAGGAGTAACCACTGTCCTGATTTTCTATTTGTATTTGCTTTACTTTTTCTTTTTACTACATATGTATGCATCCCTAAATCACGCATAGTTTTGCATGATTTTGACCTTTCGGTCGTAAGACTCAGCATGGATGAATCTCACTTAATGTTGAGGAGTGCAGAGCATAAGTTGCAGGAGCCACATAGTAAGAACCATGGGAAGACTTGGTACAGGGGATAACAGTTAGTAACCTGTGTTAATAAAGATTATTTTCTGTGCTGTGTGATTAATGGATTGGAGGAAGCGAGAATGCATGGGGAGAGCAGTTACAAGAATGTTGTAGTCTTCAGTCATGGCTGATGGCGGGTGGCCGTAGCCTCTGCGGAGGAATCACACACAGACCCTTCCTTACCGTGGCCCCTACCCATGCGATCTCAACCCCTGCTCACTGATTGACCTTGCTGTTCCTCCACTTGGGGTCTCCTTGCTCCCTCCACCTGAGCTTTCCTCTCAGATCTGCAGAGTCCGACCTTTTACTGGGCTCAGGTCTCTGCTGAAAGAGGTCTTCCCTGACCATTCAGTGGAGAATTGGCCCCTACCCTTGTCATTGTTTCCCAGTCTCCTTCCTCTGCTTTATTTTCTTCGTAGCCTTTTTTTTTTTAATCACAATTTTAAATTGCATGCTCATTTATAAGCTTTGAAAACAAAACCTAGGAAGTTGTGCCAAAATACAGGATTGGTGCAGGCTAGTCTTGGCTGACATTGTAATTTGCCACAACTCCTACACGCCACATGCCTTGTACAAAATAGATGCTTAATAAGTTTTTGTTGAGTAAATGGACAAACTGTCTTGAGATTGGGATAATGGAATTCAGTCATCGCTTTTCAGTCATCTCCCAAATATCTCTTTGGCTGTGAGCTTTTTTTAGAGCTTGAGGTAAGTGGCTAAACCCTGTCTGTCCTAGACATTTCCACTTGGCTGTCCTGCGGCCCACCTCAAACTCAGTGTGTGCGGGATGACGCCTTATCTTCCTTCCTCCAGTCTTCCCCTTCTGTTAGGCTCCCAGCACCGAACACTAATGTTCTCTTGCAGTGCTTCCTAGCCCTAATCCTTGGGGTGCTCCGTGTCCCTGCTGATGTCTGCAGGGACATTTCTGGTGACTGTTTCCCCTCTGCACTCTGCCGGCGAACTCTCAAAGAAGGCACTGCTTGAATCCTTCTCTTCTGGGCCTTACGTTCCATATTCTTTTGTACTTACATCTCTGATTGTTCCTTTTTCGCCATTTTTTTTTTGACCCAATCTCCTGGCCTGTTCTTTGCTAGGTTTAACATGCTAGGACATTGGAAAGAATACATATTGATTAAGCGGCCTTTGTTGGCTTTTTGAAAAATTCTATTTGTAACCTCGGCACCATGTATGTCCTGGGAGACCAAATGCTTGATGCGTGACAGATGAGACAGCTGGCAGCAACACTGCCATCAGCATAGTTTTCTTACCTCCCATCTTTTGTTCTTACCAGGGCTAGGTTTTCTCTGAGCCGATGGAGGCTGTTGCAGTTTTTAAAAAAGTGAGAAGTCATAAGGTTTGGACTGCTGCATCATACTAGAAGTGCGTCGAGGCAGTAGAAAGAGAGCCGATGCTGTTAGTCTTTAGTTAGCTGTCCGTCCTGACTTAGCAGTGATGCAGGTTTTGAAGATGAATTGGATGGAATTATTTTACCCAACATACGTGGAGTACCTGTTTTATTGTGATGGACTTAGATGTGCAAAATCAAGTATGGCAGTTATTTAATGCTACTTTTAGGGATGGGACATGCTAAACTGGAAGTAGGTACAAGCTGCTGTTGGGTGCCCAGGGGAGGGCAGGTGACTCATTGTGGGGCTTGTCAGAGGAGGCTTATTTCACAGAGGATGTGATGCAGTCAGGCTGTGGGGTAAGTGGGAATTCACAAGTGGACAGGCCCTTCATACTCCTGGAGGTGTTTAATCTGGAAAACATGGAATTATTCTGGGCCCAGGGTAGCTCCAGTGAAGCGTGATTCCAGCAAGGGCAGGACTTTCATTTCCTTGATCTCGCACCCGTGTAATCAAGAAGTTCTGGTTCAACAGGGCCCTCAAGCAGCAGGCCGTACACATAGGCTAGCACAGCAATTACTAGTTGGCTCTGAAGTTAGGCTTCCCTGGGTTCAGATTTCAACTCTGCATCTTTCTAGCTTTGGGAACTGGGGCAAGTTACTCAACCTCTATGGGCCTTGGCCTGTGCCAAGTAGATTATATCATCTGCTTCCTGGAAGCATCACGGAGAATGTGGCAACCTCTGGCACACAGGGTGCTTAATAAAGGTTTGCTACTGTTGTTAGCATTTTTTTCTTAAAATTATTTACTTATTTACTGGGGGAGAGAGGGAGAGAGAAAGTCACTGCGCCTCCACTGGTTCAAATCTTGCAATAGCCAGGGCTGGGCCAGGTCAAAGTGGTAACTGAGAATTCAGCCTGGGTTTCCCATGTGGGTAGCCGAGACCCGACTACATGAGCCATCACTGCTGCCTTCCAGGGTCTGCAGTAGCAGAAGCTCAAGGCAGGAGCTGGGGCTGGGCATTGAACCCACGTGTTCTGGTGTGAGATGTGGCATCTTAACTGGATCCTGACCACGAGGCTAAATGCTTACTCCTGTTGTTATTTTTTGACTGCTTACATCAGCCTAGAGCAGGGATTGGCAGACTACAACTTATGGGCCATGGCCTACCCTGATTTGCTGTTTGATTTGCAAATAAAGTTTTATTGGGACACAGCCATACCCATTCATTGAGTATTGACTTAGGCTGCTTTTATGTGTCCTGTAAAGTCTGAAATACTTACTCTATGGCCCTGATAGAAGAGATTTAACTTTATGGAAGAAATTTACCATATACTATAGGGCTCTTTATAAAGTAAATGTAGAGCGTAAACTCAAACCCCTCAGCTGTGCAGATCTTCAGTGACTGCTTCTGAACGCATCCTTTTCCATCTGTGGCTGACATACGGCCACAGCAGCTCTTTGGGTATGAGCTGTTGTCTGTTGCGAGACTATGGTTCTTTTCATGTCTTAGCTGCTCTTCTGTTGCATGAATATGGGCAGTGACAGGGCCAGGGCTTGTGGGGGGGGGGGTGGGTTGTGAGGCACTCACAGAGTATACAGTTTAAGGGAGTTCCCCAAAACTTGATAATTAAGGTAATAGTCTGTTAATGCAGTGTTTTCAAAAAATAAAATGGATGCAAAAAATTCATGATGAGCCAAATACCAATATTGTGTTTTCTTTTATCCTTCCTCTTTTTTGGAAGATTAATAAAATTTAATTTTTTTCAAAAGGTCTCCAGCTTTATTGAGATATGATTCACAAATAAAATTATATATATTAAGGTATGTAAAGTAGGGCTTTAATATACAAGTATACATAGAGTAATGATTACTCCCATTAAGCCTCTTAGCATATCCATCATCTGAGACGGTTACCATTTTGTATGTGTGTCAAGAACATATAAAAGCTATTGTCTTAGCAAATTTCAAATGTAGAATACATTACTATTAACTGCAATTACCATACTTTACATTGGATCTCTAGACCTTAACTTGCAGCTGAAAGTTTATTTCCATTTTCCTCACCCCCCAACCCTTGGCAGCCAGCACTGTACAGTGTGTTTTTCTTAAGTTCTACTGTGCTGGATTGCATAGAAGTGATGAAGCATGAAAAGTTTGAAATAAAGGGAGGATCAGTATCACTGATTTTCACCCCTTAGGCCGTAACATTGCTCAGCAGGGCATTGGGCGGCAGAGAGCAAGGAGCCCAGCCTGCAGCTGCAGCGCCCCATTTGTTCATTGTCTCCACAGGTATGTGGGAGTGAGACTTGTCAGCTTCACATTAGCCTGCTGGGTGGTCACATTTAATGACATATACTCAGGTTCATGTCTGGGCTTTTTCTAAAGTATAATTGTGCATATTTTCTTGAACTTAAACTCAGTGATCTGTATATAATCAGAGGTATAAAATGGTGGAATAAAAAATATTTCTGTTAAGTTTTCAGATGGTCCGTTTGAAATGGTTCAGTGAGAATACTGAAGCATAAATTAGAATAGCAGCATTGGATAACTAAAGCTGTTTACCAAGAGATCTGAAAGGATCACCTGGTTTCTATAAGCTTTTTCTAAGAAAGGCCAAATAGGGATATTAATTGAATTTATAATGCTTTCTGATAAACACTGACCCAGTAAGGTTTTTTAGATGACTACCTCTCTAATCTTCTCTGACATTTCTTCATGGTGCTGCAAACAGTGATTTGTGGGCAGGTTTAAAAATAGGTATAATTTGTTTTAGGGAAGGTTTGGGAGTATTCTGTAGAGTTCTGTTAAGGTGGAGTCTGGTCTGTGGGGAATAATGTGGAAGAATGGGCAAGGTCACCTTTCCACTTCTCAGCGTGTTGAAATGACTTTGATGTTTTAATGAAGCAAATTACTTGTTCTAACTGGCTATCACTGCAATAAAGAGATAAAATGTAATGTTGAACTTGATGCCCTTTTGCTTTCTAAACGCATTAAAATGTTTTTAGGTGTATAGTGTTGATTGGAGCCAAACCAGAGGTGAACAGCTTGTGGTGTCTGGCTCGGGATCAGTCTGTCAAAGTGGTATGTCAGCATTACTGTATTTAAAACAAACACTGAATTGTTTCTTTTCCAAAACATAACTTCTGTAATTTCACAGATAGTTTTGTTTTCAGACATGATTGAAATGGTTATTAGAATTTAAAATAGATTTCTTTGGGCCATAATTAGCTCAGCATTGATTTTTGGCCCCTTAAAATTGGTACCTCTTGCTTTACATAAAAATAGATATTAAAATTGATGATATGTATTGCTTGTGTATGTATATTACCTATATATATATAGTATGTACATGTGCATGAATTTGAATTTCCCTTTGTTAAGTAACTGATCTATTCATTTGTTTGTAGTGGGACCCAACTATTGGAAAGTCTCTGTGCACCTTTAGAGGCCACGAGAGTGTCATTTATAGCACAATCTGGTCTCCCCACATCCCTGGTTGTTTTGCTTCAGCCTCAGGTAAATAATTGTCTGCTTACCAGAAGCATTATTTGTAGAAAAGCGTGGCCTTGTTTTCCCCATTAGGTGGTGCTGTATACCTCAGATTCAGGGTGGAACCCAGAGTATATGACATACTGTTCTTTTGTACTCTTAAGACTGTTTCATTCATTGGGCTGGTGCTGCAGCTCACTTGGCTAATCCTCTGCCTGTGGCGCCAGCACCCCGGGTTCTAGTCTCGGTTGGGGTGCTGGATTCTGTCCCGGTTGCTTCTCTTCCAGTCCAGCTCTCTGCTGTGGCCCCGGAAGGCAGTGGAGGATGGCCCAAAGTGCTTGGGCCCTGCACCCGCACGGGAGACCAGGAGGAAACACCTGGCTCCTGGCTTCGGATCCGCGCGGTGCGAGCCAGCCGCAGTGGCCATCTGGGGGTTGAACCAATGGAAGGAAGACCTTTCTCTGTCTCTCTCTCACTGTCTAACTCTGCCCGTCAAAAAAAAAAAAAAAAAAAAAAAAAAGACTGTTTCATTCATTACCAACCTCTTGACAAGAGTTAGCCAGGGGCCCAGATTACTTCTCGGGGATTCTAACTCTTGGAGAATAACTCATAGCTTCCTGGTAAGGACAAATCCATGGATGGCGATCAGAAACTAGGGTAAGAAATACTTTTGAAAGAGAAGGTCTTGAGTGTGTGTGTGTGTTTAAATATTTATTTATTTGAAAGGTGGAGTTAGAGAGAGAGAGAGGTCTTCCACCTGCTGGTTCACTCCCCATATGGCTGCAATAGCCAGGGCTGGGCCAGACTGAAACCAGGAGCCAGGAGCTTTAGTCTCCCACATAGGTGTAGGGGCCCAAGCACTTGGGCCATCTTCCTCTGCTTTTCCAGGCATGTTAGCAGGAAGCTGGATTGGAATTGGAGCAGCCAGCACCCATATGAGATACTGGCACTGCAAGCGGCCACTCCACCCACTACGCCACAACGCCAGCCCCTTGAGTTTTGTTTTAGAACACTGTTGACTCTGAAGACGTATATGGTATGTCAGCAAGCAGGTTCATTGTGGAGCTCAGTCTAGCCTTGTGACCCGAAATTGTGCTCTTGGCTCATGACTGGTAATTGAAGTGCTGGCAGGAAATCTGAGTACCCAGGAAGACTAAACAGAAGAAACTTGGGATGGAACAAAAGTTGGCAAACTACTGCCCTCATGTCACAGTGACTGACTCAGTGACAGTTTTTGTAGATAAAGTTTTGTTGAATCAGAACCATGACATTTATTCACATAGTGTCTGTGGGTGCTTTCAAGTACAGTGGCAGAGTTGCATAGTTGTGACATCTGAAACTGGCCCTCAAAGCCATAAAAGACTGGCCCTTTATGGGGACTGTTTGCTCCCCTGGCATAGAGCCTTGAGGGAAGATCAATCCTGAGCACAGTTGGTTGTTTTAGTGAGGAGAGAAGACAGGAGCTAGAGAGAGTGACAGTGTGTCTCCAGGTGTCTCTCATTTAGTTATGCTACATCCAGACAAAGAACAGGTAGGGTAATCGTACCTTACTTGCCAATAAACTATCAGTGCTCTGAGTTGGCTTCCTTAGGAAATAGGACATCATAGAAATCCTTTCCATTAGTTGATTTTCTTATTAATTTTTTAATTCTAAAAACTACAAGTAGTCAAACTGGGACATGACTTTACTCTTGTGGTTAAGATACCATTGTCCCATGTCGGAATACTTAGCTCCTGACTCCAGCTTCCTGCTAATGTGGACTGTGGGAGACAGTAATGATGGCTCGAATAATTGAGTTTTCCCTCCCATGTGGAGAACCTGGACTGAGTTTCCAGCCCAGCTTTGGCCAACACCAGTAGTTGTGTGCCTTTAGAGAGTGAACTAGCAGGTGGAAAGTCGCTCACTCACTGGCCACCACTCACTATTCCCCCCCCTCCCCCCAATTGCTCAATTCTGAAAGTATTACTAAGCTGATGACACTCAAAATGGAAACCTTAGGTAACCTGGTATAGACAAACAGGTAACCTTAGGTAACCTGTATATGGACAACTAGATACATTTAGATTATTATTTTGAGATCCTAATGGTGACTAATCTATTTAGAGGCAATCAATTTAAGAACATTTTGTTCTCTGAAAGAAATTACTGATATTATTTTCTAGAATGATGAGCAATGTACTCTATAAACTTATATATTTATTACTATTTTTAAATTTCTAAGTTAACAAGTCATTGCTTCTTTTGGTCATAATCTAAGTTAAATCTTTTCTAAAATACCTTGAGATGGATCAGTGATATATTTTTCCTCATTGTATTTCCTTTTCCAAGGATGAATTTCTTCTTTGATGTTTTATCCTTCTGTGACACAGCTAACCATAAGGCTGGGTGTGTGTTAAGTCAATGGTAGTAGTGTTAATACACTTAGTTTGAGTTAATGAACCATTTAACCTGTATATAGTATAAATGCTGAGTTTTATATTATAATGGATCAGATCTGTAAGATGACTATAGTTAAGGG